TGCAATGAGCAAGTCATTGGTCTTGCAAAATCCCCTCATGTGATCTCCAACACCATTTCTTTCACAAAGTCCTTATTTTTCAACTGCCAACAATTCTTTTAATCCAACTTTTGCATTACAATACATCTTGATGGCATAGTTAGTCAATTTCAGACTGCAGAAGTTGGTAAAAATCTTCAATTTCTTCATCTTTGGCTTTGGTGGTTGGTGAGTAAATTTGAATAATAGTAGTATTAAATGGTCTTATAGGCATATGATCAAAAGGAAGGTTGGGCAATCTACTTCCACAGTGATACTGCCTCGGCAACCCAAAGAGGGGTCGCTATGAGTCAGGTCCGACTCCACGGCACATAACAACAACAACAACAACAACAACAACAACATAAGCATATGAATGTTATCCTATAACTGCCAGCACTGTACTTCAGGATAAATCTTGAAACATTCTTTTTGATGATGAATGAAACACCATTCCTATTCAGTTTGTCATTCTCAGCATGTTGTTGTTGTTATGTGCCGTCGAGTCAAACCCGACTCATAGCAACCCCTCCTTGGGTTTCCGAGGCAGTATCACTACGGAAGTAGGATTGTCCAACCTTCCTTCCGAGGAGTGGCTGGTGGGTTTGAACCGCCAGCTGTCTTGTTAGCAGGCAGCATAGTAGACCATTATTCTCTAATTCAAAATGGTGAATATCAGTCCATTTTAGCTGACAAATGCTTAAGATAAGGAGGTTTGGTGGTGTAGTGGTTAAGCGATTTGGTGGCTAACCAAAAGTTTGGTAGTGCAAAACCACCAGTGGCTCTGCAAAATAAAGATCAGGCAGTCTGCTTCTATAAAGATTTATAGCCTTGGAAACCCAAAAGGGGTCACTATGAGTCAGAATTGATTCAATTGCAGTGAGTTTGGATTTTTTTTTTTTTTTTTTTTTGGAATACCTAAGAGATCATTCCATTTCATTTTTGACAACATCCAATTTTCCAGGATTCATATTTCATATATTCCAATTATTAATGGATGCTTGCAGCTGTCTTTTCCCATTTTGAATCATGCCCTGTCAGCAAATAAAGGTCCCAAAAGCTCTACTCCATGCACGTCATTAAGGTCAACTCTACTTTAAGGAGGTAGCTCGTCCCCTGTCACATTCTGAGTGCCTTCCACTGACCTGAGGGGCTCATCTTCCGGCACTATATCAGACAATATTTCAGGGCTATTCATAAATTTTTCCAGTAATATATCAGGCAGTATTTCACTGCTATTCATAAGATTTTGGAGACTTGGAGTTCTGCAGGAGGGCTGCAATAACAAGTACTTAAAGATTTAAAAAATCTAGTAATGACATTTTTTAAATCTTAAAAAATATCTAGATAAAACATTTAGGTATCTTTAAAAAAATCTAAAAATCTGATGAGCCCTTACTGTGTGCAAGGAATAGCACTAAATATTTTATAAACATAATTTAATTCTTCCCACAAATCTACAGAATAAGTTACTATTATGAAGCCCATTTTAAAAGTGAGGAAACAAAAGCCTTTAGAGCTTAACCAGCTCTGTTCATTATGCTAGTAAATGGCAGAACAGTGGGTAGGACTCAAAAATCTGACTTCCAAGATTATGTTCTTAATTACTGTCTCATACACCGGCCCCAACAGTATTACAATTACCAAAGGTATTCCAGTAGAAATGTTAATAATCTCTTACGAATGTGCATAACTGCATGGATTACAATATATATTTGCCTGCATGTAGTCTTAATCCTCATAATTACTTGTTTGCAAAGGCAGGGGAGGCTATTCACCTGGCTTACAGAAATAAAAAAAGAAAAAGACTTTGACAGGTTGTCTTTACCAAGGTCATATGCCCAATAAGAAGAGCAAAGATCAGAAACCGCACCTTCAAATTTTTTGTTCAATGTTCTATTGGGGTTCTTGTTTACTCAACTAGCACACAACTCATGAACCAGTTTTATTATCTGCTATATCCCTGGTGTCCACAACAGTACCTGACACATAACAAAGGCTCAATAAATATCTGTTGAATAAATGAATGAATATGAGACTCATAGTGACCCCCATTGAGTTTTCCAAGGCAGTAAATCTTTACAGAAGCAGATTGTCTCTCTTCCTGCTGTGGAGTGGCTGGTGGGTTTGAACTGCCTACCTTTTGTTTAGCAGCCCAAAGCCTTAACCACAGTGCCACCAGAATTCCTTTGAGATACTATTATTATGTAATAAAAGTACTATTCAATTATGTTATTTAATTATTGTCACCAGGTTGGCAGTTCAAACCCACCAGCCACTTCTCGGAAGGAAGGTTGGGGAATCTACTTCCGTAGAGATACTGCCTTGGAAACCCAAGGAGAGGTCGCTATAAGTCTGAGATGACTCAACAGCACATAACAACAACAACAACATGGCTGTATTTCATCTATTTGGTTATGATTTAAATGGGCTAGCAATTTGCTGGGTAGGAGTTATGCTTAAGCCCTCACTAGGAAACAGCTGTGAGGGTTGGAGAATGGCTTATCTGGAAGGGCTACAAAGGCAAATGGGAAGGAATGAGGAAGTGATCAGAGAACCAGAGAATATCTGGCTGGCCACTTCATATGCCACCCACAGGAGGGCTATCACTCATCATCTGGTGGCAGTTGCAAGAAGTCTACAGTCCTGAGAAGGAACTAAAACTAAAAAGCCCTCTTGAGAGTATAATTCAAATTGTGATGGTGCAATGGAAACATCCCATGGTGTATCCTTTTAGAGAAAAGGATTTATTATTTATTTAGAAATGTAAATGTGATTTAATTATTTTTGAAAAAGAAATGCAAATAATGGCACACTCTAATTTGATTTACATATTGTGATAAGTTACTTGACTCTTACCACTGGCATTATTTATATTTTACATATATTACTAGTCTGCTTTATTTAAAAGTAAAATCAGTCTTCTAAATTTTTAGAATATGATGACTTATGAATGACATCAGGTTATTTATTACTACTGATTCTGCAAATATTATAGCATTTGTAAATTTTGCTTTTTACAATTGACTTAACCATTTCCTTAGTTACTACAGAAACATTTTTATGGTCACACAATTTTAAAAATGAAAATAGTAGCTAATATTGTATAATAGACTGAAATAGGGCAGATATAACATACCTAAACATTTGAATAAACAGTTTATATTTACTGACCACTTACTTTGTGCCATGTGCTTTATATACATTATTTTACTTTATATGTATTATTCTAAGTGTTTCATATACATTATTTCCTTTACTCTTTATGACAACTCTGATGGCATAGTGCTTAAGGCACTTGATGCTAACCAGAAGGCTGATGCTTCAAACCCACCAGCCACTCCTCAGAAGGAAGTACTTCCACAGTGATACTGCCTCAGAAACCCAAGAAGGGGTCAGTATGAGTGGGATCCGACTTGATGGTAGTGAGATAAAGATTTGGTGGTAAAATCACCAGGTACAGATAAAGAAGGGGATGCTGAATAGCATACCTTTTATGGGAGTATTATTGAATTTCTCCAGGCCCCAGTCTCTTAGTCTGAATGTAAGACATAGAGCAACATATTGAAAGCATCTATCTTTCTTATTTAGACCTCATTTAAAATTTACCTTGCCCAAGAGGTCTTCCTATGACTAAACAAAGTGGTCAAATCTTAATTCTCTGTAAGGCACTGGACACTATCTGATAATTCCCTCAGGTTATTTATTTGTTAGTTTATTTGCTATCTTTCTCCCCTCATTAGAATCTAAGCTGAACCACAGCAGGCAGCCTATTCACAGCTTTATCTCTAACTCCCAAAAGAGTGTCTGATGAATAATAAGCACTCATTAAATATTTTTTGAATGGACAATAATGTATATTGTATGAATTTTTATTAAAAAAAGATACTATTTATATATACCTATTTATCTTTGTTGTAGAAGCCAAGGGAAGAGCTGGAGAGATACTAAACAGTAAGCATTAACTTTCTCAGGAAGGTGGGAAGAGGAAAATTATGAACTTTTTCTTCTAATAACTCTTGGTATTGTTTGATTAGTTACTACATACATTTTTTTTCTTTTAGAATTAAAATATAATTCAATATAAAAATATGTGACAAGAATGTAATTAATATTCCCTCATTTGGGGAGACACACAGGTTATATGTAGAAGCAGATGGACATGATAACAATCTTGTTTTATTGGTAATTTCTCCATTAATGGAAAAGAGTAGTTAATTAAAGGCATTTGTGAATACAAGTATTAAAGTGTTTTGAAACCACCAACAAAGGTAATAAAAATAATAAAAGTCTAATAACTTCTGAAATATCTAATTAGGACAAAATGATGTATCTAGGATAAATCTGAAATTTGAGAAAAGTAATTTGAGGAAGGAGCCCCAATGACACAATGGTTAAGCACTGGGTTGCTAACTGAAAAATTGGAGGTTCAAACTCACCAGTGGCTCCATGGGAGAAAGAGCTGGTGACCTGCTCCCATTAAAATTACAGCCAAGAAAACCCTATGGGGCATTTCTAGTCTGTCACATGGGGTAGCTGTGAGCTGGAATTGACTAATGACACCCATCAACACCAACAATACTCATAATGTTAAGTTCTAATACGTTTGTTAAGAAGTATTATATCACTTTATAATCTGATCTCAGACATCTATTTCAGTCAGGGAAATTTCATAACCAATAAATTCTGACTTTGGGATACTAAAAAATATTAAATTTTGGGGAAATGACCATGACAAATTCACCTAATTTACTACAAGCTAATTAGAAGCCAGCTGTGCTAGATGGCACAAGTGGTTAAGTGCTGGCCAAAAGATTGTTGGTTCAAACCCATCCAGAGATGCCTTGGAAGACAGACCTAGAGATCTGCTTCTGAAAGGTCATAGTGTCAAAAATCCTATGCAGCAGTTCTACTCTGCACACCTGGAGCCACAACTCAGAAACAACTCTATGGCAAGTAACAACAATTAGGAGCCACCTTACCTCAACAGGAGATGGGGAACTTGATTGTAATGGGAATGGAGCAACGGCCATCTGATTGACTGCATCTTCATTTCTGTGAAATGTTAAAATAGGCAGAATCAGTTCACATTAAATGCTAAGTTTCTGGTTCAAATTTTAATCACTTCCTCAGATCTCAATTAGAAATACACACACAATGTTATCGAATGAATAAGTAGATATATATCACTTACAAGCATATAAAACTAATTGGAACAAAGAGAGACATATCACTCAAGGGATAGTAAGATACGATTATTAGTGACAAAAGAATGATGACACTTAAGAGTTAGCCAAAACCTGTTTAGTAAGTCAGGTGCTACAGAGAATAATTTTGGGAAGACATCAAATCTTTCTCACTGTGGAGTATTAATTTTTCAAATGTATAACCTCTAGGCCCCATTAATATCTAGAACATCTTGTTCATTGAACTGGAAAGGCTCTCCACCTCCTCACTTGGCTTCTAACTTGGTTCTGCCAAATAAGGGGTGGTAGGTTGTGTACAAGGTACCTTGCATGGGTGGACAATGTGAAGAGGAGTGATGGAAGGATGGAGAGAGCAGAGATCCAGTCAATATTTTGTGGGTTAGAATAATTCTACTCAGCATGCTCACTGGAGCAGAGTATGTGGGAGTGAAACCTCATTACCAGAGTGACAAGCATTCAACAGTTCAGAATACCAGTTCTGACTTTCTGGGGACTATTTCTACCACATTTACTGGCAATTGGTAGGCAGTGGTTCTGTGGAGGATAATCACTATCCTTGCTTTGCATTCATGATGTGTGATTGATATAATTATTATTTCTTTATGTGAAATGTCTGACTTCATGTTTCAGAGTATAAACCCAGGAAGCTAACAAAAATGCTTCATCTTGGTATGCAAAGATCTAAGACTTTCCAAAGATCTATTTCTCTATATCAAGAGTATATCTAGAATTGCCACTTTAGAAGGGACTCAAAATCCAGCCCCATTTTCTTTCTTTCTCATCAATTGGGTAGTGAGTTCATTGACCCATTTCATTCCTGCTTTGGTGCTTTAATCAAATCACTGCCTTTACCTGAAATGACTTTCTTTATTCAATTGATAACACACCCATTAAACTTCAGTGTGAGTTCAATAACCTCAACCAAGTGACTTATTCCCTTTTGTTCAAAGATTATACTATATTGATATCTTCCAAATTTACTTATCAGCCGAGATCTTTTTCTGAGCTTCAGATCTGCATATCCAACTCCTGCTTCCTATCTCCACTAGATGTCTTACAAGTGCCTTAAATAAAACAGAGCATTTTATCCCACTTAGTTCCCAGATGGTTTCATAGTTAATCTTCCCCACCTGAGTAAATGTCAACAACATCTGCCCAGTTGTTCAATCAAGAACCTAGGAATCATTCTTGAAACATTTCACCCCTCAATCCATTAACAAGTCTTGCTGATTCTACCTTTAAAATATATCTTAAATCTTTCCACATCTTCCCATCTTATCCTAGTGCAAACCATCATTACTTCTTACATGAATGTAATGTAAGAGCATCCTACTTGGTCTCTCCACTTCAATCAATTTCTTTCTCTCTCCAATCTATTCTTCACCCAGCAGAGTTATGGTCTTGACACATAAATCTGATTATATTTCTATTCCCTGTATAAAATCCTTCTGTGGATTTTTTTTCCCTTTTTTGTATTTAAGATAAAGTTCAAGATTGTTACTGAGCAATCTGCCCTTGGCTGCCCTCTTCCCCCTGCTCACTGTGCTCAAGCCCAGACATACTCACTTTCTTTTCATTTCTCAGTTGAGTTAAACTCCAGCACCCTCAGGGCCTTCTCTTACCATATTCTCTTCTGTTCCACATGCCTGTCACCCAATTCCTTTCTCTGATTTACTTCTATTTCTCCTTCATATCTTACCATAAATTTCCTTTCCTGAAACAAGCCTTGCAGGACCTCCATTACATGCTTATAGCACCCCATGCAATGACGGCTTTTACACATGTTTCTTTCACAATTTACCTAATTGACTTGACAATTTACTTCAAGTCTGTTTCTCTAGACTGTAAGCTTTCCAAGGACAGGACTCATGCTCTTCCTACTCTCTATTACATATCTAGGACAAACATAAACTCAAAACTCAAACTCACTGCCATCAAGTCAATTCCGACTCATAGCGACCCCCTTTGGATTTCCGAGGTGGTAAATCTTTACAGAAGTATATTGCCCAGTCTTCCTTCTGTGGAGTGGGTTTGAATCACCAACCTTCTGATTAGCAGTCAAATGCCTTAGGCATTATGCCACTAGAGCTCCTTATGCCTGACAAATGGTTTGCATGTTCATATTTATTTTAAAAAATGAATGAATGAGAGGAAATGTAATAATCACTCACTTCGATAAAGAGACAGAAAGATAGGAGTTTCAGGTTTAGTCCAGGCACACTAACTAGCTAGAGGAGTTTGAAAAATAAATAAATAAATCACTTTCAGAGCCACAGTCTCAGTGAGCAGGTTGAACTGTATGAATTCTAAGCTGATACAAATTCTGAGTGGAATGAGACAGAGTATAAATAAAGAGGTAATAGATACATCTCTTCAGAGATGAAATCTAGGCACTATTTCTTTCTCTAATCTTGGATTCTTGGATTATCTAGCACACTAGTCAAACCAAAGCAAGTGGGAGTAGAACTAAGGCTATAAAGTGAAATGGAGCATGACAGATTTATCTGTTTTTCTGACAGCATTACAGATTCCTGGAGCATGCAGTATTATGTAAAGAGATTGCTGTTGTTTTTCAGGGAATATAATCCATTCCTTAGCAGTTTGCTCATATATAGAAAAAGTTATCAGTTACCCTCAGTAAGTAATAGCATTTTCCCAGTGGTAATTTCCTTTTCTATTCAGTTACCCCCCATCAAATAAACAACAGAATTCAGCTCTAGCTTAGAGCCAAAAGCCAACAGGACAAGTCTGGAGTTCTCAGAGTAGAGTATATTTGGCAGTAATTAAGCAGATGGCTTTTCAACTCTTTCAAAGGCTAGCAGCATTAAAAATATGGCTGCTTATAAATTTTTATTGAGAGATCATGATTAACCGGACCAAGTTAGTGCAAACTGGCCAAGTTATCCCTTCATAACTTAATGAATTCTCCCAAAATTAGTATGTCTTTAAAGGACTTTAAAGCACAAATTATTATTTTTTAACCTCACATAACAAATCTACAACTAACTCTCAATGGAGAGAAGAAAACTGCTATAAGAAATTACAGTTCATAATCCTTTATAAACCACTTATCTTGTGAATTTTATCAAGCCAGGGGAGAGCTGACTTGGTAGCATCTTTTAAATTAAAGAAGTAGGAAAAGAAACAAAAGGAGAGAATGTATTTACACTTCATGTAAGCAGTTAGCCTGAACAACTTCTGAGGCCCCTCTGACCTCTCATTTTTGGTAATTCTCACATCACCTACAGGTTGAATAAGGAAGAATTTGAAAGAATTGTTTCCTTTACATTTAACCTAATGTAAATTTCTTAAGCCCAGGTGCTCCAAAAAGGATATAATAAGAAACAGTAATTTTGTTGGTCCTGTCAAGTTCTATTACAATTATTTGTGCTGTTCTTTCTGCTTCTTCCAGCACAGCAATGGAATCTTATTTTTCTTTGTAATCCCAGTACGTAGCAGGGTACCTGAGAGAGAATAATCAAACCAAACCAAACACACTGCCATCGAGTCAGATCCAACTCATGGCGACCCCTCCTTGGGTTTCTGAGGTGGTATCACTACAGAAGTAGATTGCCCAACCTTCCTTCTGAGGAGTGGGTGGTGGGTTTAAACCGCCAATCTTCTGGTTAGCAGTCAGATGCCTTGGGCACTATGCTACCAAAACTCCCTGAGAGAGAATAGGTGTATCATAATTAATTGTTAAATTAAAGTGATCTTAACAAGGCAGGAAAAAGATACAAAAGCAAAATTGTCAAAACTATGCCCTGCAGTCACCGTTTACTGCCCATAGTGGAGATTTCTATGGGTGCCTGGTCAGCTCACAGCGATTCCCTGGATGGGCCACAATGATACCTACACTATGTAACACAAACAGCCCTGCCTCAGCATGACTGGATTTAGGGAGAGCACATCTGTCTTAGTTTGGACTAATCATATTCTCTATTCCAGGGACCCAACATTTAGAACAGACATATGAGACCAGGCAGTCCTCTGAGGTAAGACATGACCCTACCCATGGAAATGCTGAAGGCTAAACAGGGGGCCCAGGATGCTCATCTGCCGATATCCCAAGAGTTGCTCGGTTCCTCCCCTTTGAGACCTTACTTGTATGACTCCTTCCTTAGAGGCTGTGAGATAGCTCTATATTCTTTTTTTTTTTTTTTAATTAGGATTTGGGTGAAGATTTACAGAGTAAATTCACTTTTCATACAGCAGTTCACATATACTTTGTCTCATGTCATTGATGAAAATTTATAATGCAGCAGCTCCCCTCCCACTTCCTCCCCATAGTTACCTCCTCCCAGTGTCCATCCCTTCATACTCTTCTGCACCCTGAGCTATCTCCCTGTGCATAAGCAGCCCTTCCTTCTCCCATGATTGTTCTCTCCAGGGTGTGTGTCTACTTGAGGTAAATGTTTAACTCACATGCCTGTACTTTGTTTGGCTGGAAACCACAGTTGTGGGTTCAATTCCAGACCTGAAGGGCAGCTAGGGGCCATAGTCTCAGTGGTTACACCAGGCTCTATTGGACCAGCAAACCTGGTCCCCACCTTTTTTTTTTTTTGCCTCCAAATGATTGTGAGTTTTGTTCCACATTGTTCTCCCTCTTTATGCAGGATCTCCTACATCCCTTCCAAGTGGATGGCAGTGGTAGCTGGGCACCATCTAGTTCTTCTGGTCTCATAGTTGTATAGGTTGCAGATCGGATGGTGTACCAGTCGCTAGGACTGATTATTTCCATTAATTTTGGTTTTCTTCTTTCTTCTTGATGAGGACAGACCTGTTGTTGCATCTAGATGGCAGCTTCCTAGCTTTTAAGGTCCCAGTCGCTACTCGCCAAAGTAGTAG